GTGGCTGCAGGATTCCTGTGGACACAATGATGACTACTAACCAGACACGTATGGGTGGTGTTTTTGTGGCTAATAGTTGAAAGGATAGAGCTACAGGGACAAACCTCAAGGTGTACTGAATGTACAATAAATACGGAGGTTACATGGATGCAAGGGTCAGTCATCCTTGCTAAGGGAACATCACAGAAGATTCAGAACACGTAGATTGTGCGGCGAGGGACTCTGAAGGGGTGGAGTGTGAGGAAAGTGGAGTTGGTTTGGTCAGGCCTCCTCGCATCATATCCAGCTGGGTATGATTCAGCACATCCTTTGTAAACAAGTTGCATGAGAGTAGAGCTAGTGTGCATGTGCGCCTGTGTACCCCTTGGCTTGTTGCTATTTGTGAGTGTACTCTTCAGTATGGAAGCCAGCGGCTCTGAATTGCTGGTCAGCAGAGCTCTCGTCTAAAAATAAAGCATGACCAGTTTGCTGGTGGCTGCTTGGTTTTCCTTTCACTTACCTGACTCAGGACCTGCACAGGATGGAGTAGAAGTGTCTGTGATCCAGCCCAACAACAATATTGATAGTTGAGTTGCCCTAGCAGGGAGTTGGGAGAGGTCTATGCTGCCATACTTCTAAACGTTTTACAAAAAATTCTTAGGTTATTGCTCTTATAAACATGAACTTTGGGACTATTGTTAAAAGTAAAGATTTTGGAGTTTGGAGATAAACATTTAAGTAAGAACTATCTGGCTTCCCCAGTGTTTCTTGGGAGACTGATGAACTATTTTAAATAAATCTCTGACCCTTCTGACCCTAGAGCACACTGACTAGAGTTGCTCCTGTGAGAAGCTTCATGGTAAATTACCTGGACCCAACTGCCCTTGTGACGTAGGATTGGGGGTTTATTCATATTTGCAGTTTGCCTTCCCCAACCATGGCCGCTCAGTTCACAATGGCCTCTTTATGCCTCAATTCCCACTGTTATGGAGGATGTCTGCCTCTGTTAGAGGGGCCCCCAAAGCAGGTGTCATGAATATTTCAGGTTATACCCTTCATATGTGGAGAAGATCCATCTAGCTGTTTTCCCTTGATTTGGTAACAAATGATTTTATTTACATAGCTGTAATGTCCTTTAACTGTTTTTACTTCAAAGCAAAATCCCAACTCCAGTGACAACAATTCCTTTTAAAAATATTTTATACTATATGAAACCTTAATTATGGCAGATGTTCAATAATTTAAGTCCTGAACAATTACAGTGTCTCTGAGAAAATCAGGCAGTTATCACTCAACTTTTATGCAATTCTCTCTCTACATAAATTTCATCAAGAAATGCCTTCTCTATTGATATTACTCTGTTGTCATGCCAGTATATGTCCAAAATCTTTCTATAATCTGCAGTTTTAACTGTAAATCGACAAACAATTTTACCTTAGTTTTATGCAGGGCATTCCCAGTCTCGATCCTTTCTATCTCTACCTGACAGGGAGAAATAAGTGTGTGGCCCTTGTCTCATGGTCAAGCTTGGCTGCATCAGTCTAGCAGGCTTTCCGTCACTTTTGAGTCTTGGCATTCCAGTGGCTCACCAGACAGAAATTTCCTGAGATGACTGGGATTGATACAGTACCTACTCCTCTCTGCACAAAGATGACTCTGCTTCCTTCAGTTCCACAACCCACTCACCTCCATTCTCTGCCAGGGGAAAAGTGGAAATATTAGATTCAATTAGGAATTTGGTGAAACTGATGACTTTTCCTGTGGTACTTGGAAGTAGCCCTTGGCAATTTAACTGTGTGTTCAGAGTGTTGTGAAGTTGTTCCTGGGTAGCAGCTAGGATATCTATATTAGTCCGTTTTGTGTTGCTATAACAGAATACCTGACACTGGGTAATTTATAAAGAACAGAGGTTTATTTGGCTTATGATTCTGGGACAGCTGCATCTGGTGCAGGCCTCAGGCTGCTTCTACTCATGGCAGAAAGTGGCAGGCAACCAGCGGGTACAAGCAGATCACATGAGGAGAGGAAGCAAGAGAGAGAGAGAGGAGGTACCAGGTCTTTTAAACAACCAGCTCTTGCGGGAACTAATAGAGTAGGATCTTAATCTTTACTCCACCTCCCAGGGAGAGCACTAATCCATTCATGAGGGATCCACCCCCATGACTCAAACTGTCACACTGGGGATCAGATTTCCACATGAGTTTTGGGGGGACAGCACTTCCAAACCCTAACACAAGGGAAAGTTCAGGAAGGTGTGTAGAGATGACTGATTGAAATGTAGGAAGTCTCTGGAAGGTTTTATTCAGACAGATACCATGATCTAACATTCCCTTCTAGTCTTTTGCCCCAGCATTCATTGCCTGGGTCAGGTGCTTCTCTTTCATAAATTGACTTAATTGGCTAATCAACATAGAAACTATATTCAAGTTTTAAAAATAGGTGGAATATTTTTCTCAGGAATTGAAGCCTTCACAAAAATTATCATAATCCCTTAATGTACCGAGAATTTGTTGACTAGATGCTAGGCACTGAGAATATACAGTTTAACGACCCTGGCTTCTAGACACAGAATCTCACACTTAAATTCTTAATATAGCTTTTAAAAGTACTATAAAATGTTTGGTCAACAATATAACGCAGAAATTTGAGAGAAGAGTACCTAATTCAGATTGTGAATGAGGGAAAAGGATTTGAAGATGATACATTGGTTTAATTGAATCTTGAATGAGGAGAATAAATTAGGCAGTCAAAAACAAATGAGAAAGATATTCTAAGAAGAAGGCAGAGTAGATGCTAATTCCAACTGTGAAAGCATATGCTCCTATCAGGGAGTAAGCAGCAAGCAATTCCTAAGGGTGTGGTAGGAGACATTCCAATCTCTAGCTGAAACTTGAAACCGTCTTTCCTCCTAAAGAGGTTAAGCTTTGTTGAGCATCCGGGGAAAAATGGATTTCTCAGCAACAGCACTAGAATACACTACTGGAGCCGAGTGGTGGAAGGGGAAGTTTTACCTGTAAGAGTAAAGTAGTTATACATAGAACTGAAAGGTCTGTATGTTTTAAATCATGTCATTTGTTCTTAGATCACTCCATCTCCAGCAGCTGTTGTGCTAGCATACTCCTACGTAGTCTAGAGGATCTGTCATAGGCTTGTTTTTTTGTGGGAGATTTCTCAGCTTCTTCTGGTCCAGTCCAATTCAATAGAACCAAAAACTAGGAAGAGTTTTGTGGATGATGTCCTAGCAGTAAATAACAGTGTTCATATGTAAGTAATATTAGCTTTGAATAATCATCAGACTAATAGAAGTAGCCACAAATTAGGTGGCTGGTCAAAGATTTGAAGGAGTTAGGTTAGGTCATTATATTGGCTGTTTACACCCCAAAACAGGTAATGTTCATCATAGTCAAATATTCTGTGAAAAGGATATATTTCGTTGTTCTAATTTACTTATAAAAGAAGTAATACTAAATAAGATGAAAAAAAATTCAAATCCAAAAAATGAGGTTATTCGAAGTACAATAGGTGGTAGTCTAAGAGCCTTATTTAATTTCATAATTTCTGGTAATTTTTGTAACAAATTATTACTCAAATTTTTGTAAAGTTCTACGAGATAAGTAGAATTATCTGACAAGTTCTGTATTCGTCATGTGGGTATTAGGTATGCATCTGTGTGCCAATATATATAGTCTTGGTGCTATTTCCTCCATAAAAATTAGTTCCACATCTTAGAATATAAACTTATGCTATTGTTTTTGATGATACATAGATATTACGAAATATGTTTGCCATGTGAGCTGCTGAAAGAATTCTGTCTATATCTAATTTTGAGCTTTATCATCAACAGACGTTTTATAGAGGTTTTCTTAGTAAGAAATAGTTTAATATTACATGCTGTAAAATCACAGTTCAAAGTTACCTGAGTAAATTTATTTCCTTTAGCAAGTGCTTTATAAATATTCATTTAAAAAGTCATGCTTATAAATTGAAATGATCCTTTGTAAATGTCCAATTACAATCATTGACAAGTATAAATACACTTTGCGGCAAACAATACCCTGATTTATGCAGATCCCATTAGATATAACTGTGAACTATAATTATCCTAGTGGACTGTAATTTTGCCTGCCCAGTCATTCATAGAGTTCTGAAACATTCAACGTAGCTGTTTATCACATGAAGATGAGCAACACAACAGAATAAACTCAGCTTTAACTTCCTTTAAGACAAATAAACAGTGCTTTCCAGATATCTCTAACACTACAGTTCTATGGTGCAATAGATAAGACAATGGAAAGGGCAGCAGCCTGGGTGCCAGTCCAGCCTCTGCCCTTGAGTATCCATGTAGGCCCCTGTTTAAAGACTGATCTAGATTCCTTAGCTGAAAAATGAAGGGGTTGACTAGAAAATTATGGTCCTTTTCATATTAAAATTTAGCATTAAATTTCATCGTGCAATGAAATCTCCTCTGCATATGAAGGAGAAAAAGCAGTTTGAAGACCTATTTAACAGCCATGTGTAATGTTTTAAAAAGATTTGATAACTTCAAATCGTGTTGTTTCACAACTTCAAATGTGTTTTTTCACATCTACAGTAGATACTCATAATACTCAACAATCTTTTATAGCTCACTGATTTGGTAAGAAGCTGCAAAGCCCCAAAGACATGAATTTGCAGACAGCTGAATTCACACTACCTTTGCAGCTGTGAGGTGAGGACCCAAACATACACTGTTTTTGCTGCTGCTTTAAAATGTCTATGGTAAATGAGGCCGACCAACTTTTAGTCTTATTTCTGTTTGCCCCATAATAGACTCATGGTAAAATACAGTCTCTCATCTAAAATGAACATGACCAACATCATTTTTATGATGAATAATTTAACTAAAAAACAAAAAATCACAAGTGTGCTTAACTACAACTTAGTTCTACTTAGACCATGACATGTTAACCTAATCCTAGGTAAAATATTTCTGGAAATATCTTACTGATCACAGCTTCTAAATGTTTCCTACACATTTATGACTAGAGAATAAACTGTTTTGGCAACACAGATGCAAAGAAAAAAGAACATTTTAATCTTACAATTTCTAACTGTTGACTGTAGTCTTCACTTTCTATAACCTTGATCAGCGGCTTGAGCTTCTCCTTCAGCTTCTTCCCCTCATTCACTGGAAGAATGAACCTAAGCCTCATGTGAGCACGCTCTATCTGCATTTTCTCCTTTAACTGTTTTATCACTTCCAAAGCCTATCAAGATAAAATTGAGAACATCTGTAACTTCTTTACTTCTACTGCATTATTTCATAAGATACTCAAAAACAGATTCCATCCAGTTGGATAGGTAATGGTTTCCTAGGTATGACACCAAGAACATAAGCAACTAGAGAAAAAATGGAAAAACCAAACCTTATTAAGATTAAAAACTTTTGTGCTTCAAACTTCTGTGAAAAGGAAGTGAAAAGACAACAGTATAGGAGAAAATATTTGCAAAGCATATATTTGATAAGGAACTAGTATCCAGAACATATAATGAACTCTTACATCTCAACAATGAAAAGACAAAAACAGGCAATTAAAAAATGGGCAAGAATCTGAACAGAGATTTCTTCAAAGAATACAAAGCATCATTAAGCATGAAAATATGCTCAAATCATGTTATTGAGGAAATGCGAGTCAAAACCACAGGATACCACAAAAAGGCAGACAACAAGTGTTGTTGACAATGTAGAGAAACTGGAAGCCTCATACACTGATGGTGGGAATGTAAAACGGTGCAGCTGTTTGGAAAACGTTTTGGCAGTCCCTCAAAAAGTTAAATATAGAGTTATCACACGACCTAGCAATTCTACTCCCAGATACAAAGAAATGGAAACATATGTCCACACAAAAACTTGTAATGAATTTCATAGCAGCATTATTCATAATAGTTAAAAAGTGAAAACAACCCAATGTCCATCAACTGATAAATGAATAAACAAAATGGTATTTCCATCCAATGGGATATTACTCAGCCTTAAAAAAAAATGAAACACTAACCCGTGCTACATGGATGAACCTTGAAAAGGGCACATATTTTATGATTCCATTTATATGAAATGTTTAGAACAGATAAGTTCATAGAGACAGAAAGTAAAGTAGTGGTTGCCAGGGCTTGTCAATGAGGACTGCTAATAGGCACAGGATTTCTTTTCGGGGTGATGAAAGTCTTCTTAATTAGGTAGTAGGGAAAGTTTCATAATTTTGTGAATATACCACTGAATTGTACACTTTAAAAGAGTGACTTTGGGCCGGCCCAGTGGCGCACTGGATAGTGCGCCGCTTGGGAAGCGCGGCGGCGCTCCCGCCCGAGGGTTCGGATCCCATATGCAGACCGGTTCCCGCTCACTGGCTGAGCGAGGCGCGGGAGCAACGCCGAGGCTTGCGATCCCGTTGCCGGTCCCCGGTCCGGTACGGGGGCAACACTGAGGGTTGCGATCCGTTGCCGGACACGGAAAAAAACAAAAAAAAAAAAAAAAAAAAAAAAAAAAGAAAAGAAAAGCAAAAATAAATAAAAATAAAAAGCATCTCACCATGAATTACTGCCGCCACACCACCAAAATAATAACAGTGAGGAAAGTAGAAGGAGGGGAAAGGAAAGGGCAGAGAAAGAGAAGACATGTTACTCTGTCAATCAGTTACATTGGAATACGATCTCCCTAGTCATCACTAACAGTTTATATACCATTGGTATAAACAGACAAACCTCAATTTTTTTTTAATTCCAAAGAAAAAAAATAAAGATAGAAAAAAATGAAAACACATTGTGATAGGGTGGAATTCGAGGCTCCAAATTAGCAAACAGAATGGTCATTTTAGCTCTCAGTTTAAGTCACTTTTTCTCTTTCACATGGAGATTAGGTTTTTTTAGGTTACTCCTCTAAAAGCTGGAAGACTTAATTATAGGAATTTCTCTATTACTAACTCTCACCTCTAAATGTTCAGTTTTTGAAACCCTATGTTCTCCATACTTGCATTCAATATAACATGCTATTTTGTTTAGCACAGATATGTTTTGTTAGATTTATTATCAGACAGCCAAAAATATCAGACTGATTTTGACAACTCTTGGGTTTTCAAGTGAGACTTTGAAATTCGTAAAGAAAAAGAACTTCTAATTTTCTGTTGTGTTTATATAACTTTTCATGGTATGTGAATTATGTATAAATAAAAAAAATCTAAAGAGTTAAGATGACTCTTTAAAAATTCAAGTTTTGTCTTTAAAGGTTTGATTGGATAGGAAGGTTAGAGTCCGACGTTTATTTGTGTTTAGTTAAATAAAATTTCATTACCTCTCCTTACAACTGCCATCCTTTCCCCCCAACTCTTCCCCTAAACCTCCTACCCACTTGCTTTTCATGCACACCCATTATTTTAATGATTTGTTCAAGGAAAACAGACTTTCATGGATAAGCTTTGATGACATTAAAAACCACTCACCTGCTGTTTTGTACTCTTGTTGGGTTTGACTGAATAGTGGATGTCCTTCATGGCTCTCTCGATAAGGATAACAGTGTATGGTCTCTTTGTTTCAGGGTTCACACATTTGTCTGCTACAATAGTTGCAATGTCCCTAAACATCTGCTCCAGCTGTGTGTGCCTTTCTTTATCTGATACTTGAACTTCTCCTTTAGTTAGAATCTAAAAGAACCCAACAAATTTAAGAAAGCAGTATCTTTCTCTAATATACATAATTTGTTAACTAACCATAAGATTGAATAACGGGGGAGAAAATTAAATTTCATCCTCTTCAGTTACTGATATGTAGGCAATAATTTGAGCTTTGCCTAAAGGATGCACTGGATTATGCTGTGCTCCAAAATTTCACTTGAGGATCTGGTGGGTGAAGAGGAAAACGCAATCTCGGCAAAAGGTCTAAAAAGACGAAATACTTGAAATTTAATTTTCAGGAATATCACATTAAAAAATAGATAACTGGATAAAATGAGGTAATTCAGTAGGAAATTTAATTTCTGGAGGTTCTGGCAGAAAACATCCATATTTTTTTTGGGGGGGGGGAGGCGGGGCGGTTGGCCAGGAAAGGCCACGCTCTAACCAACTGAGCTAACCAGTCAGCTCCCCGTAGTCTGTATTATTAAAAGTTATGTTCTGAAGCTCACGTTATTGCATGGTAACTGTTCTCTACAAAAAAGATACTCTACAGTTTAACATACTACAAGTACTTAACACTACAGATGGATATTAGGGTCAGTTATGCTGCTGCTGGAAGAACCCACCTGCTTACAGATTTCAGTTTGGTCATCTGTTCCAAATGCACTGAGGAGATCTTCCTTCTTTGCAACCTGGCCTTTAGAAACATTTACAAACACTGAGTGGGTCTGTAGAACTTCATCAAGGTCTTTTTCCCTTGTAAGGGCAGGAGAGAAAGTCCTATGTGAATACACTTGAAACTTGGAAATGCATTCACATTTGAATACAAGATGACAACGACATAAATAGTAAGACACAACAAATACTCCTAAGATGACGCCTAGTGTGGAGGGATCATTCTCAAAACTCAGAACGGCATCTGTATTCCCATCTACTCACTGGAGAAAAACGTCACAGAGTATTTATGAAACACGGGGGTGGGGTGAGACGGGGTGGGAAAGGCTGCTGTCACGGAATGCCGGTCCCTAGATGGCAGTAGTGAGGACACTACGCACTTCGGGCAAACTATTGGGTAACTGAGGCCCGTGACATCAGACGTTCTTACTATACCTCCATGGTATATGGAAGACTAGGCTCCTAGCCTTCATCATTACTCTAGGAAAAGGACCATAATTACGGGGATTCTTGGCTGTAGCTTTTATGATACCAATCAACCAACCCCCCAAACCAACAACCCAATCTGAACCAACCCAACAAAAAAGGAACCCTGGGTTTAAGCGTCAAGCTCGGGAAGGACAGCAACGTCTCAGCTCACACCCGGAGTAAGTTTTCCAATTCCTTCCCCGACAAGACCCCGCTTGGCCCATCCACTCGACCTGACTGGAGGAAGACCGCCCGGAGGCTACCGGCCCCGGCCAGGGTCACTCACACGCCACTCCGCCAGCCGACGACCTTGTTTTTGTAGCAGGCGATTTCGAAGCGCTTCCCGGCGCGCTTCATGCGTACCACCGCCACATTGGTGAGACGGATCTGGTTCGTGGGGGTGAAGATCGACATGGTGGCTGCTCACCAACCCCGGGTGCAGCCTGAGCGCCACCAGCTCCTCGCTGTAACGACCAGCGGCGAGCGGCACCCTAACAACCGCCGAGTGCGGGGCGCCGCGACCACCTCCCCCCGGGCAACGGCCACAATGCACCCGGCTGACGTAATAATAGTAGACTTTTAACATCCCACTTTCAACAATGGACAGATCATCAAGAAAGAAAATAAAGAAACATCTGACTTAAACTGCACCATAGCCCAAATGGACCTTAACAGAACATTCCATCAAACAGCTGCAGAATACACATTCTTCTCAACTGTACATGGAACATTCTCCAGGATAAATCATATGTTAGGTCACAAAACACGTCAACACAAATTTAATATGATGGAGATCATATCAAGTATCTTTTCTGACCACAATGGTATAAAAACAGAAATCAACAACAAGAAAAACTTTGGAAACTTTACAAATACATGGAAATTAAACAGCCAATGAATTAATAAATAAATTAAAAGGGAAATTTAAAAATTCCTTGAGACATTCAAGAATAGAAACAACATATCATCAAAATCTATGGGATACAGCAAAATAAGTTCTAAGAGGAAAGTCTATAGCAATAAATGCCTATGTCAAAAAAGAAAATAGACTTTTAATAAATAAACAACCTAATAAGGCGACGGTGCGGACCGTGGGCAAGGAAGAGAGCTCAATGACGCCTGCGCACTGTGGCTTTTTACGACATCTCTCCGCGCCCGAAAAGGGAGGCACTCTCCCTTGACTATTTTACTTTAACCAATGAGCTAAAGATAGATTGGTGGCTGATGTTTACTGACCGGGTGGAAACACAGCCTGGCTCCACATAGTTCTGCGGAATTCAGGGGCCACACCCACTTTAATCTTTTATTATGGAAAATCTTAACATAGAAAAGTGGAGAGACTAACAAAAAACGGAAAAAAAAAAGTAGAAAAGTGTAATGAACCCCCATGCACCCACCACCCTGCTTCAACAATTATCAACATTTTGCCATTCTTGCTTTATTCCCCCTTCCTCATTTTTGCTGGCGTTTTTTAAACTGTATCACGGGCTGAAGCCGTAAGTACTTTTTTCAGTCTTCACCCCTAACAGACACATCCAACGAGATTAACCATCATCTAATAGCCAGTCCATACTCCAATTTCCCTTAAATAATGCCTTTTTACTGTCTGTCTGTTACAATTGAGAATCAAACGGAAGCACAGATTGCATTTGGTTGATGTCACCTAGTCTTTTTTAGCACCCCCTCCCCCTTCCCCTTACAATTGAGAATCAAACGGGAGCACAGATTGCATTTGGTTGATGTCACCTAGTCTTTTTTAGCACCCCCTCCCCCTTCCCCTTTTTCTTACATGTCACTCATTTTTTGACTGTGCTTCTCTCCGGATCCGCCCCTTCCCACTATGAATCAATCCGAGCAGAGCCGGAAGCGCTCGGGCTTCGGCGCGGGGAGCTCTGGGCGGTGCTTCCCCCTGGCCCCGCCTCTTTCCCTCTGAGCCAATCAGAGCAGGGCTTGGGGCATTCCGGCCTCCTCTCCCGGGCTTCTCCCTGGGCCCACCCCTTTTCCCTCCGAGCCAATCCGGACGGGCCCGTGAGTGGCATGGCTGCCCCCTGCTCCGCGGCTCTGGACTGACTGTTAACGCGGCCAGGAAGCTCGGGCTGTCGCCGAGCGACACGGGGCCCGCGCCGGCCACCACGCTCTCCAGGTCCGAGGCCCTAATCTCCTGTCGGTCCACAAGGCTCGGGCTCTGAGGAAAATGGGTAAGGGCCCCCGGCAGACAGGATCGTGGGGCCGGAGGGGAGGAACGCGGTTTTCTGAGATCCTCTCCCGGCGGAGCGGCGCCCTGAGCGCTTTCCTCCAGAATTCGTTGCACTAGTCAGTAGCCGCTGGGAGCAAGGGGGCACTGACCCCTACTGTTGACCAGGCTTTTGCCTTTTGAGGCGAAAGGGTGAGTTTAGAAGGAAACTACGCTTCTAACCCCAAAGGCAGAGAAAACTGACTCCCCTACCTTACCCACGTGTATTGGGACTTTTGGTCCTTTTTAGGGTTGGAGCACCCCTGAATATCCTAAACTTCAAGTTTCGCCTTTCAAAATTGCTCCCAGGTTCAACATTTGAGGCCAAATGCATGCATATCTCCCTTCAAAAAGTGGAGCGTGAGGTCAGTTACTGTATTTGAGAGTCCTTTCCAAAGTCTCCTTTAAAAATACAGCTATAAAAAAGGTACTACTGGGCCGGCCTGTGGCTCACTCGGTAGAGTGCGGTGCTGATAACACCAAGGCCACGGGTTCGGATCCCATATAGGGATGGCCGGTTCGCTCACTGGGTGAGCGTGGTGCTGACAACACCAAGTCGAGGGTTAAGATCCCCTTACCGGTCATCTTTTAAAAAAAAAAAAAGGTACTACTTTCACTGCTGTTTTTTTTATGGAGCGAGCATAACACAGCAAAATTCTTTTCCACATGGAGCTGTTGTCACTTTATGTTCCCTTTTCTTTCGTACTACTTTCACTGCTGTTTTTTTTATGGAGCGAACATAACACAGCAAAATTCTTTTCCACATGGAGCTGTTGTCACTTTATGTTCCCTTTTCTTTCAAATGCTTATGTCCAAGTGAAGGTAAAATTTTACATTGTTTTTTTGAGTTAGCGTCATCATTCTGATAATTTTATTATCTTACTACGTAGCGTATTATTTTTATTAGATTTGACTTAAAAATTTTATTTTGTATTCTTTTGGCGGCCGGTGGGTAGGGGGATCCGAACCTTTGAACACCACACTCTAACCAGCTGAGCTAACTGGCCAGCTCTAGAGTTGATTTCTTATAGTAGATTTCTTAGCTGGGTTGTTGAACATGAAGGTTGGTTTTGGTTTTTATTCTTTAATCAGGGATGGACATCTTTGCGTATGCAAATTTAAATAAAATGCATGTATGTGTCTTTTTAAATTTAGATCTTTCTTTGGATATGTGGGACTTCTCACCTTTAGTATCATTATGGATAAACAGGTTTTACATTTATTTGGGCTTTGCCTTTGGCATTAGCCTTTGGATTTGTGTGCAGATTGTCATCAAGAAGCAGGTAAGTGGAGCTTTTTTTTTTTTTAATGAGTATTATTTAGGCGTCAGATTTTATAGAAAATTTAGAGTGCAGATTTTCTTAGCCTTTCAGAAAAATATAGAAAAGTTAAAATGAACTTTAAATCACTTTTATGTTTGGTCTCGACATGTTTTTATTATTTTTTTTTTTAATATTTTTTTTTTAATTTTTTTTTATTTTTATTTTGTCAATATACAATGTATATGATTATTATGGCCCTTCACCG